TTTAGTTTGATGTAGTCCCATTTGTTTATTTTTTCTTTCGTTTCTCTTGCCCGGTGAGACATGGTGCTTGAAAATATGTTGCTAAGACAGATGTCGAAGAGCATACTGCCTATGTTTTCTTCTAGAAGTTTCATAGTTTCAGGTCTTACGTTCAAGTCTTTAATCCATTTGGAGTTAATTTTTGTGTAAGGTAAGGGTCTACTTTCATTGTTTTGCATGTGGCTATCCAGTTTTCCCAACACCGTTTGTTGAAGAGGATTAATCTATTTTAAATACAATTGGGTTAACTTTTTGTGGTGTTTTATTACAAGGGAAACCTTTATTAAACTTATATATCTAATACTATGAATTAGTAATTGTAAAGCTATAATTTTAGAAGAGTATAAAGAGACTTTCAGTTAAACATGGCAGATTTAACACGTAAGCTTATCTTATTCCCTCCTGAAACCTCACTGAAAATGATAGCAAAAGAATTTTTAAAAGAAAAAAGGCGTAAACTCATACGTACAGAAAAAATGGAAAGAGAACAGCAAACAAGAATGTCAAAAAATTTATTTTTTGAATGGGAAATACATTCACATAGTTCACAAATCAAAATATAAAAATGTATAGAGAGACAAGTCTGACTCTCCGTTCCTGTCTCCATCTTCCCCCATTGTCCCTTGTCCTTGTGTCTCAAAGCAGTATTATTCATTTATTTTATATTCTAGAGTTTCTTTAGGCAAACACAGATTTTTTTTTACATAAAACATGGCATACTATAAACACTTCTGGACCTTGCTTTCTTGTGTAAAAAACGTATCTTGGAGGGAGTGACGTCAGCATCATGGCAGAGTGAGCTTTCCCCCTTAGGCTCTCCACCCAAGATACAACAAAAAAGACATTCATATACCAATAGAGGACATTCACATGACACAAAAGACGTCTCAGAGACCCACACAGCCTTTCCTCTGAAGGTGGAGTTGCTGGCACCCCTGGAGGAAGTGGAAGGAGATAAAGAGAACTCCTCTCCTTCTCCAATGACAGCGACCCAGGGACAGGACCACAAGGCTCTCTGAGAGAGAGGAGGGAGAGGCAGCCCTCCGTGGGAAAACCATTGCTCTCCAGGTTCTCTCACAGCCCATGGGAAATTCCCATACAGAGGGGACTGAATTGTTGTAGGGGTGTCTTCAGCAAGCTTGCACCCCAGGAGAGCAGATAGCGAGGAAAGAGTGAGAAGCCTCTGGGATTGGGTAGGCGAAGGAAAGAACTCCTCCCCTTGCCTGGAGCACCAGCACAACCAGTCGGCCAGAGTGCCCCCGGATGATGGCCAGCTCAGAATACACAGCTCTTGACCCCCACCCAGTGGCGGCAGGTGGAAGCTGCCACCAGATGTTTTCAGAATGCGGAAAAATAAGCCCACGCTCTCAAGCAGTGTGCAAAAGTATATTAAATCTCCAGACCAGAAGGAAAATGACAAGCACTGAGAAATCAATCCTGAAGACACAGAAATTGATAACCTCAATGACAGAGAATCCAAAATAGCTATCATAAAAAAGCTCAATGAACTACAAGAAAATACAGATAGACAATTCAGTGAAATCAGGAACTTCTTCACAAAAGACATTGAAACCATAAAGAAAAACCGATCAGAAATGTTGGAGATGAAAAACACAGTGGAGGAGATAAAGAAGAATCTGGAATTTTTAAAAACAGAGCTGACAATATGGAGGAAAGAATTAGCAATGTTGAGGATAAAAATGCAGAAATGCTGCAGATGGAGAAGGAGGGAGAACTAAGACTAAAAAAAAATGAGGAAATGCAACATAAGGATTATAGATATTCCAGAGGGAGAATAAAGGGAAAAAGAAGCAGATAGC